ACAGACCATGGACTGTCAGACCTGGGAGAATCCTTAGAACACAGATCATGGACTGTCAGACCTGGGAGAATCCTTAGAACACAGAACATGGATTGTCAGACCTGGGAGAATCAGAACACAGACCATGGAATGTCAGCGCTGGAAGGGACCTTAGAACACAAAATGTGGACTGCCAGACCTGGGAGAATCCTTAGAACACAGACCATGGAATGTCAGCGCTGGAAGGGACGTTAGAACACAGAGCATGGAATGTCAGACCTGGAAGGGACCTTAGAACACAGAACGTGGACTGCCAGACCTGGGAGAATCAGAACATAGACCATGGAGTGTTGGTGCTGGAAGGGGCCTTAGAACAGATGTCTTAGAATGTCCTAGAAGAGTCTTAGAACAGAGAACCTGGAATGCCTCAGAGCTGGGAGGGGACTGGAAGATCTCTTCCAGGCCCCACATTTTGTAGATGAGGAAAGAGCTCAGAGCAGTGACTCGCCAGGGCTCTAGGGAGTCCCAGCAGTCCTGGGCCAGGGACCTCCGCTCTCCACTTTCCCCTGCCCTGTCTCTCTTGCTCTCCAGTCTTGCTTGGGGCCTCTCTGACCCTGACGTGCCTGAGAGGCAATTTTCCATTATTTCTCCGATCCCTTCCTGACTGTTGGATCTTCTCTCCAATGGGAAGATCCCCACCTGGCCCTGCCTGCCCATCCTGCTTTCTCTCACCTGCGATCTCCCAACCCACTGGGGACCTTGCTCTTTTTTTTTCTTTTTTTAAAAATTAATTTATTTTGATTTATCAACAATCACTTCCATATGCTTTTGAGTTGAAAATTTTTCTCCCCCTTCCTCCCACCACCCTCCCCAAGACGGTACATAATCTGATATAGGCTCTACATAAACATTCCTATTAAACGTATTTTCACATTAGTGATGTTGTAAGTAAGAATTAGAACCAATAGGAGGAACCACCAGAAAGAGGAAACAAAACTCAACAGAAGAAAAAAAATAGCAAATAGTATGCTTCGATCTGCATTCAAGCTCCATAGTTCTTTCTTTGGATGTGGAGAGCATTTTCCATCACAAGGCCTTTCGGGATGTCTTAGCCTTGTATTGCTGGGGAGGGCTAAGTCTATCAGAATTAGTCATCACATAACGTGGCTGTTGCTATGTACAATGTTCTCCTGGTTCTGCTCACTTCACTCAGCATCAGACCACGCAAGCCTTTCCAGGTTTTTCTGAAGTCAGCCTGCTCATCGTTTCTTATGGCACAGTAGTATTCTGTTACATTCATATACCACAGCTTGCTCAGCCATTACCCAATGGATGGGCATCCCCCTAGTTTCCAATTCTTGGCCACCACAAAAAGCCTGGCTCACTTTCTTAATGAACAGTAGTCAGTGGCAAGCTCATTCCAAGGCCTTCCCCTTCATTTTTGCTGCCTCTTCTCTCAAAGGAGGCCTGAGATTCCTATCAGCTCCTCCACTCCCTGTTCTGTGGGCAAAGGGTCCCTCCTCTGGCTCTGACATTCTGGGCTCCATGCAGTCATACTCTGCCCAGCCTCTCCACACAATACCCCAAGCCAGAGAGGGCGAGTGGTTCCAGGTGATTGTGTAAGGTCCTCATTGTTAGAGGCATTGGTCCTTTGAATGTTAAGGAGGCCTCACCCAGAGCTGGCAGCTGACTTTCACCATGGCTCTGCTGGCATGGGAATTGCAGCGACTAGGAAAAAAAACAAGTAAGGGGCAGCTATGGACTTGTGTGGCCTCTGGAGGGTAGAAGAAGTGAGACTGACCCCTGCAGGAGCCCAGGAATCCAGCCTGCCTCTGGCCTCTCGCAGCATCCAGCTTAGAGGGAGGAGGCCAAGGCTGGGAGGTGGAGTCTGGTTCCCATGGAAACACAGACTGTCAGAGCTGGGAGTAGCCTGGCAGCTGACTGGGGCAGGACTGAGGACCTGGGATTTCCTTGGTTTGAGGAACTTCTGGGTGAGCAAACTCCCTTTGCCCATTCAGACAGGCACCTTTTCTGCAATTTAAAGCCTTGGGGTGTTATCCAGAGCACTGAGGGAGGAAATTACTTGTTCACGGTCTCTTCCCAGTGAGGGCCAAAGACAAGGCTCAAATATGGGTCTTCTTGACTTCAAGACCAGCCGTCCTGTAGAATACAGACCATGCAATGGCAGAACTGGGAGAAGCCTTAGAACATGGAATGTCAGAGCAAGGAAGGTCCTTAGCACAGAAAATGTCACAGCTGGGAGAGACCTTAGAACATGGGATGTTGGAGCTGGGAGGGCCCTTAGAGATCATTGAATCCGGCCCCCTGACAGACAGAGGAGGAGGCTGGGGCAGGAAAGCAGGCCTGGCCAGCCCTCGGCGTCTCAGGGGCTCAAGTCTCCTGACTCCCAGGTCCGGTGTTCTCTGAACCTCAGTTTCTCTGTGGACTTGCCCGTCTCCTTGCATCCCCCCAGTTTCCCAGCCTAGGTGTCAGCGTCAAGGCTTCTGCTGGTCAGCTTTGCCAGGTCTTGCTGTGGTGGGCTGCTTCTGAGGCCCTGGCCTTGTAGAGGCGAGGCTGGGTTCTCTCCAGGCCCCACTCCTCAGTCACAGTCCCTGTGCACAATTCCACAGTAAGTGCCAATTCTGTGCCCAGCCTTTCATCAGGAATCGAGGTCACAAAGACAAACAAGAGACAACCTCTGCCCCAGGGTGTTCACACTTACTAACTGTGTGACCCTGGGCAAGTCACTCTTTCAGACTCAGTTTCCCCATCCATAAAAGGAGGGTGATAATGTCACACCCAGGGCTGTTGTGAGAATATTAAATGTGCTAACAGGTCCAAAGCCCTTTGCCAATCTCTGCTGCTATTATTGCTGCCCAGGGTCACCTGAGTAGGAAGCAAAAGAGCTGGGATTTGAACCCAGGTCCTCTGACTCTATATCCCTACTGGGTGTAGTGGAAAGATCCCGAGACCAGGAGGAACCTGGTGCTTTGAGCTCGGTCCTGCTGCAGCTCCCCATAATTTACCCCTCAGCTATCTCTTCCCTAAGGGGCCTTCCCTGTCAAAACAAACTGAGATAAAGTGCAGCCGAGAATCTGGGAAAGTGTCCCTTGGGCCCTCCGCAGGGGTCTGGGCAGAGAGCTCCTCTGTGCCCTCGGCAGCAGGGAAGCCAGGCTCCGTGGAGTCAGCTCTGACCCAGACACCCCTGCCACCCTGTGTGTGTGTATATAAGGGGGGCAGATAGCAGCCTGGAGACTCTGGGTCATCCAGTAGGCCAGCCTCACCTGGCATGGGAGAGGGCTTGGTGGGGGCTGTCTGATCCTGGGGGACCCCCACCCTCTCTTGGTTGCTATAACTACATCCTGATGTCTCTGGGAAGAGGTGGCAATGGCGGGTGGCGGGGATGGTCAGGGTAATCTGGGAGAGACAGAATCGGGATCCTGGGAAACAGAAGGGCCGGCCGGGAAGAGACGGGCTAATAAGTGGTTAAGATGCCCGGCAGGAGCTGATGTTATCACCCCGAGAGCTCCTATTTTGGGAGCTGGCACATCTAGTTGGGAGGCCATCAGGCTCCCAGGCATACTCTTTATCATCTGGGCTGAGGGCCATGTTGGAGAAACTGAAGGCAGTGGTGAAGTAATGGGCCTGAGGGAGCCCCAGGCTGAGAAGGCAGAGAAGGCAGCTTGGGGTAGCCAGTCCTGTGGCCCCTGGGCCCCCGGAAGGGCAGATATTCACCTTTTCTGGGCCTCAGTTTCCCTGTTTGTAAATGGGGGCTTAGAGTAGATGATCTCTTGACTCTGACATTCTATGTTCTCTGAAATTCTTGCTCCAAAGTCTCTCCAAGGTCTAATCTTTTATCATTTTGATGAAATGTCAGGCTGACCCAGGACATCCTTAAGGACAGAACTGGAAATATTTTCCTTCTTGCGCACAAAATCATGGCCCTGAAATAACTTACCATGTGAAGCTCTGTCCACTGCCTTGGGCAAATCACTTCTCTCCGGGCCTCAGTTTCCTCATCTGTAAAATGGAGGTCGCCTTTTGGTTGCCTCCCAAGTCTATCATTCTATTTTCCTTTAGAATTCAGCTCACATCGGGGTGGGGTAGAGAGAAGACAGCCTAGGAGACGAGGCCTCCCCAGACAGCCCACAGTAGAGTCTAGGGAGAGGAGGGCAGATTGGTTCCCCTGCCCCCACAGCCAGAGTGAGGTGGAGGCAGCCCTGATGGACTGGACCTTGGGTCATCTGCCCATCTCCCCAGAGCCAAATGCAGGCTCTGCACTCAGTCGGTGTTTAATGTTTGCCGAATGAATATTCAACAATGTGAGTGAAGCATGGCCTTACCGAGTTAATTGTCCCAAGAAATCATGGAGGTTTCTACTCTAACCCTACCCCACTTTACAGCTGAGGAAACTGAGACCCAGAGTGGGGTGGCAGTGACAAGCCCGGTTCCAATCCAGGTCCTTGGCTTCCTAATTGTATTCTTTCCCCGTCCCTGGCTGCCTCCCTCCATCCAGGCTGGAGACAGAAATACATTCTGGAACGGCTGAGGTCAATTTGGAGATGAGAGAGGCCATGGGAGGAGGGGTGAGAATATTTGGGGCACAGCCCTCAACCCGACGGCTAACAGTACAAGTACAGCCCCTTCCCCGGCACAGCTCTCTGCCTGCTCCTGCCCAGAGAAAGCCTTGGATAACAACTCCTAGTAGTAAAGAGAGTTCTTTCCACAACCACCTTGTGAGACAGATGGTACAAAGAGGCTCTTCTAACACTTATGGCTGTCTGCCCTTGAGTAATACCCTTAATCTCCATGCCTCAGTTTCCTTCTTTATAAAATGGGAACAATAATCTTTGCTCTGGTGCTAACCACACACAAGATCTCCCTTTCTCTGGGCCTCACCTGTAAAGTGAAGGGAGACAGCAAGACTAGAAGACCCCTCAGGTCCCAGATCTAGGACCCCATGACTGCCTTCTGTCCTCAGCCATTTCTGCCTCTCACCAGACCCATTTCTTTCTCCACAGGAGACCCCGGCTCCAGATTCTGTCTCTGCCTCTGCCAACCAGAAGCCCACTGGTAAGCCTGGGGCTCATGGTGCCAGGGAGGGTCTGAGGGTGGGGGAGAAGGCACAGTGCCAGCTCCCAGACCCCACCTCCCCTGTGGTCATCACAGCCTCACACACAGTCACCCACAGCCTCAAGTTACAGGGATCCCCACTTTATAAGATGGAGTTCCCTCCTGGTCTCCCTGGACCCCAGGGAGAGATAGGGGGCTTCCTCTCCCACCGGGACATGACGGCAAGTGCATTCAGGGCGACCTCTGTTTCCAGATGTGGACTCTCCTGTGGAGGAATCATCGCAAAGTTCTGGTTCCAACGTCAACCCCAGCGAGGAGCCTGGGATGGTAAGGAGGGCTGGGTCAGGAGGGAGGGCGGGGGCACAGGGAAGGGAAGGTTGGGGTCCCCTGACCCCAAATCCTAGATCTGATGTGAGAGTAGTTTAGTGTATCTAAAGGAAGCCCTATCTGAGAGGCAACATTGCGTGGAGGAAAGAGAGAGACACAGAGGGAGACAGAGACAGAGACAGAAGCCATGGGTTCAGGTCCTGCCTCTGACATCGACTGGCCGTGTGACCCTGAATAAATCAGCGCACTTCTCCCGGCTCTGGGGAGCTAAGAAAAGCAGCTGAGCAGGCGCCAGCTTGCATCCGTAGAATCGCCTCCCAGGTGGTTCCTAGGCTGACGAAGGCGCGCATCCGTCGCTGTCCGCTCTCCAGAGGATGCCAGTGATCCGAGGGCTAGGATGCACCAGGGACCGTGGTCTGGGGGGAGGGATGAGGGGCCCCCGGAGCTCCGGGGGGGGGGCTGTGCAGAGGGCCGCGGGGCTGCATCCCCCTCCGCCAAGCTGAGCGCCTTCCTCACCCCGCCGTTCAGCAGCGATTCCAGGACACAAGTCAGTACGTGTGCGCTGAGCTGCAAGCCCTGGAACAGGAGCAGAGTCAGATCGATGGGCGGGCGGCCCAGGTGGAGACCCAGCTGCGCAGCCTCATGGAGACAGGTGCTGGCGGGACCCTGCCCCAGGACCCTTATCCTCCTCTTGTGTCTCCAAAGGGAGGGGTCAGTCTAGACCGGAGGATGCCCACGGCCCTTCCCAGCTCAGACGTTCCCTGTTCTAGGCTGTAGGAGTCTATGGTCTCTGTTCCCAGGCACCTCGGCTGTCTGACATTTCCTGTTCTAGGTTCTAAGCTAGTCTTCGCTCTCGGTTCTCCCAGATGCATGCTCTGCCTTCTGATTTGCCCTCCATGCTGCCCCCTGGTGCCCAGTAGTGGTAATGCCAGGGCTGGAATCCTAGGCTGCAATAACAAGGCTGGCTTGTCTGCCCCTACTTTGACTCGTTCAAAGACTACAACAAATGCCTCTTGGCACCTACTGTGTGCACAGCCTTGCACTGGTGCCAGAGGAGATACAGAGGTCCATAAGACAGTTCCTTCCCTCAAGGAACTTACACAGTTACATGACTATAATCAGGGGTTTGCTGGTAAATGTTTAACAACCAGCTCTCCTTCCCTTAAAAAATATAAACATATTAATATTATATTAATTTTAATATTATATTGCTATAATAATATGAATATGCAATAAATATATTTGTAACTTTATTAACATTTTTATTCAGTCTAGAAATAAGAAAAAAAACAGTAAATCCAACCCATATGTGTAGCTTTGGCCAATTTCCAAGGTCTAAATGCTCACACTGACAATTTAACAATCCTCTCCAAGTATGAGCTGGCTCAGGCACACCCCTGATGTAACTTACCATCTTGCAGCATTATCAAGGCTTTGTCAGCTGAGAGAATCTGGGAAGACTTCCCGAAGGAGGTTTTGAATTGGGCTTTAAAGGAACGGCAGAAATCTAACAGAAGAGTCAGGGAAGGGAGAGCATTCCAGGCAGGCGAAGGGTAGAAAGTGCAAGCAAAGGCCCAGAGGCAGGAGAAGTCAGTCTGTAGGAACGCTCACAGAGTGGCTGCCCCGCGCAGGGCACTATGCTGGGCTCTTCACCCCTGCCCTCTGGCAGCTTCCAGTCGAGGGGGAGTCTGCCCCTCTGGACCTTTCCACAAGCCTGTCCCCATTCCAGGTGCTGACAAGCTGCAGGAGGAGATGCTGATCCAGGAGTGGTTCACGCTGGTGAACAAGAAGAACGCCCTGATCCGGAGGCAGGACCAGCTCCAGCTCCTGTGAGCCCCGCGCCGTGGTGGGGGGGTGTGGATCCGTCAGTCAGGGTCCTTCCCTTCTCCATCAAAGGCTCTGCCGAGCACCTGCAATGTGCTGGGGGGCCCCAACCCGGCTACAGAGGGGGCACAGCCCAAGGTGCCTGGGCGACCCGCTGTGCTCAGTCCTGGGCAACACAGAGGAGGGAGGGAGGGAGGGAGGGAGGGAGGGGAGGAAGGAATGGAGGAAGGGAAGGAGAGAAGGAGGAAGGAAGAGAGGCAGGAAGGGAGGGAGGAGGGAGGAAGGAAACTGCTAAGCCAGAGGGTCCCGAGGAGGGCAGTCAAGCAAGGAGGAGGGCCTCAAGTCCCTGTTGATGAGGGCTGTGTGAAGGTACTGAGCATGTTTCACCGGGAGAAGAGAAGACTGCCCCCCCCCCCGCTCCCCCCCGCAGCTGCCTGCAAGTGTTTGAGGGGGGATTGAATTGTACTTGATCTGCGTGGCCTCCAGGGGGCAGGACTGCCAAGGCTGAGAGTGGTGTGGGGCGATTCCGTGACTACCTTATCAAGCATCTTCTATGGGCAGACCTCTGCTACCAGGGAGCAGGGAGAGGAGTGAATAGAGGCAGGGAGGGTGGCAGTGGAGACAGGAAGACCTGAGTTCAAATTCAGCCTTAGACGCTTCCTGGGCAAGTCATTTAACCTCTGTTTGCCTCAGTTTCCCTCATCAGTAGAATGGGGTCAGAGATAATGGCAATGACTGAACAGCAGCAAGGTAGATTAATACCAGCATCTCCCTTCCAGGGGTGATGTGAGGCCCACGTAAAGCACGTGGCACATGGGCCTGTCTGGTGTGGGGTAGGCACTACATAAATGCTTGTTCCCATCCCCTTTATCCAGGAACACCTGGGTTCGGGTCCTGCTTCTGACACTCACTGGCAGCCCCTGTGTAAAGCCGGGTGGGGGGTGAGACCTGCACTGGCGGAGGAAGTTTCCATCCCTGGCGCTAGATAGGTAAATGAGCTGAGACACGGGTCCTGCCCTCGGCGAGCTTGTTCTCTAATCGGGAGGGAAATGAGGCCCGTCAGATGATTTCTGTAGCCAGGTTTGGGAGTGTGATGCAAAGAGTGGAATGTCGAACTTGGAGTTAGAGGCTGCTGTTCAGTTGTGTCCGACTGTCTGTGACCCCACATGGGGTCTTCTGGGATACTGGAGAGGTTTGCCATTTCCTTCTCCAGCTCATTTTACAGATGAGGAAACTGAGGCACCCAGGGTGAAGAGACTTGGCCAGGGTCTCACTGTGACATGGTCAGTGTCTGAGGCTGGATTTGAACTCCAGTCTTCTTTATTGCAGCGCCACCTAGCTGCCCCTCATGGAGTTAGACAGGACCTGAGCACCCATCCAGGCTTTTAATACTATCTCTGTAAGGTTTGCAAAGCTCTGTACCTGCGTACAAATACGATGGTATTTGATCCTCATCTCACCTCTGTGAGGGAGGTGCTATTATTATCTCCATTGTGGGGAGACTGAGGCTGGAGGAGAGGTTGGTTGAGTGACTTGCCCAGGGTCACACAGCTAGCTAGCAAGTCTCCGAGGCGTGATTCAGACTCGGGTCTTGTGGACTCCAAGTCCCTCCAAGTGTAGGGCTCGCCTGGTGCATTTACTCAGTGGGTGACCCTAGGCAAATAGCTTTCCCCCTCGGAGCTGAACTGGGCCCCCAGGCACAACATGCAAGGAAGAGAGGAACGGCAGACCCAAGCAGAGCCACGCGCAAGGAGGCACACCTCATTTTTAATGACACTTTTAAATGAAAGGACATGTTTTGAACAGTGGGGAATTCTGCACACATCACACATAAGCGTGGTTACTCGATGATAAAGTGGCACATTCTGCAGTGAGCAGCATCATTAGTAATAACAGTTCCCATTTAGACAGCCTTTAACGAGTGTAGATATGATCTGGAAGGGACCTTATTGATTGCCCCCATTTTACAGAAGAGGAAATTAAGGCTGAGAGGGGCAGGGACTTGTCTAGAGTTACATAGCTGGTAGGTATCAGAGAGACTCAAAAGCATCACTCCAGTGTGGTGAAATGTCAGACCTTGCAAAAGCTGCCCAACTGCCTTGTCCCGGCCTCCGGGCCAGCCCCTCCTCTGTCCCTCTGGGCCCCGGATGAGAACACCATCTCCTCTGGCTCTTTCTGAAGGCCCCCCTCCACGTTCCCCTGAGACGTGGCTTGGAGGTTTCTGGCCCAGCACGGGGAGGTCAGGCCAGCCCCTGGAGCTGATGCCCCTGCCTTCCTGTTGCAGGATAGAAGAACAGGACCTGGAGAGACGGTTCCAGCTGCTGAGCAGAGAACTGAGGGCCATGATGGCCATTGAAGGTAAGGTGGTCACGGATGGAAGTGGGGGCGCCTCAGCCACAGCTGCCTTCTCCAGTGCCTCCCGCCTCTCATCTCTCCCTGTCCAATTCACCTTGAAGGCAGCTGCCAGACTGATCTTTCTAAGGCTCGGTCTGAGCGAGGTCCTCTCCTGCACAGAACCTTCAGTGGCTCTCTCTTGGCCCTGGCACAAAGCCTGGCATTGAGGGCACACCACCACTTCAGTCTTAATTCATTCACTCCCTGTCACAGTCAGTCCATCCTCCAGCCAAATGGGTCAGCCAACGAACATTTGTTAAGCTCCTACTATGGGCCATTAGTCCTGGGCTAATGTCCATGGATGCAAAGAAAGGTCAAAAGGAGCTCAGTCTAACACAGACACAACATGCAAACAATTGTGTATGAATAAAGATATATGGGTAGGGTAAACTGAAGGTTAGCTCCAGAAGAAAGCCACTAAGATAAGGAAGGCTGGGAAAGGCTTCCTGGAGAAGGTGGATTTTAGCTGCGACTTCAGGGAAGCAGAGACGAGGAGAGAGGGTATTCCCAGGAGGGGGCACCACAGAGAAAATGCCTGGAGTCAGGAGACAAAAGGTCTTGTGTAAGGAACAGCCAGGAGGTCGGGATCATTGGATCCAAGTGTGTGTAAGAGGGCTGATAAGGGGGCAACAGACAGGTTGTGGGGGGCTTTAAAAGCCAAAATGAGGATTTCCTGTGTGGTCCTGGGGGCCATAGGGAGCCATGGTGTTTATTGATTAGGGGAGTGACAGGGTCAGGTCTGTGCTTACGGCAATGACTTTGGTGGTTGAATGGAGGATGAACTGGAGTCAGGCAGTGCCCCCAGCAGCCAGTGCAACAGTCCAGGTGTGAGGTGATGAGGAGAGGAGAGGGCATGCATTCAAGGTAGAAATGACAGGACGTGGCAACCGTGCGGTTATGTAGGGTGGGAAGGAGTGAGGAGTCAAGGCCAGGACAACACTTAGACGGCAAGCTTGGGTGACTGGGAGGATGATGGGAATTAGCAAAACATATATTTTGACAGCCATTTGACATTTTGGCAGTAATGGGGCAGTTAGGAAGAAGTGAGGGTTGAGGGGGAAAGAAAGTGAGGTCAATTTGGGGCATGTTGAGTCGAAGATGTCTGAAGAGTTGGAAATGCAATACTGGAGGTCTGGGGAGAGGAAATAAGCATTTATGAAGCACCTACTATGTGCCCAGTGCTTTACCATTATTATCGCATTTGTTCCTTACCACAAGCCTGGGAGGTAGGTGCTATTATCACCTCCATTTAACATATAGGGAAACTAAGGCAAACAGAAGTTAAGTGATTTGCCCATAGTCACACAGCTAGTAAGTGTTTGAGGCCAGATTTGATCCCAGGTCTTCCTGACTCTAAGCCAGCATTCCATCCACTGTGCCCCCACCTGTCTCATGGCTGGACAAATCGATCTGAGAATCATTTGTATAAAGATGAGAGCTGGAAACAGGGATGCCGATGAAAACAGCAAGTGATCGCCTGCCTCCCTGTAGTGCCCGGACCATTTTCCAGGTGCTCCTTCCTCATTTCTGCCTGGAAAAGAAATTCTGCCCTTCCTTCTCGTTCTATCTGTCTCTCTTTTCTCCCTCTCCACCCCTCTTCCAGCCCTTCCTACACAGGCTACCTTGTTTTACCCTTCTATGTCTATGTCTGTGTCTTACTACAGTCCTTTCTATACAGTCTACCTTGTATTTCCCTTCTGTGTCTGTGTCTTTCTCCAGCCCTTTCTATACAGTCTGCCTTGTATTACCCTTCTGTGTCTGGGTCTGGGTCTTTCTCCAGCCCTTTCTAAATAGTCTACCTTTTATTATCTTACTTCTGGACACACTAATGAACTGTCAGCACCCTAAAGGCAGAGACTGGTTTCTTTTGGGGGGGGGAGGGTATTGGCTTTGTATCTCTGCTGCCCAGCACAGGCCCCTGGGCAGAGTAAGTCTTTAATAGATGTTTATTGATTTGAAATGAGGCAGACAAGAGACAGACAAGGCAGACACAGATCTACAGACAAGCCATAGGGTCACAGAGAGAGGCACCAGACAGCCCCACAGACAAACCTCAAGGACAGAGCTAGCCTTCTCATCTCCCCTCCCCTGCTTCTGTGCCCTATCCCCAGACTGGCTGAAAACGGAAGCCCAGCAGCACCGGGAGCAGCTCTTGTTGGAGGAACTGGTGTCTTTGGTGAACCAGCGGGACGAGTTGGTGCGAGATTTGGATAAAAAGGAGAGGATGTGAGTGTGGCCAGCTATGCCCTGGGCCTTCCCCGGGGAGGGGGGCATTGCACTGGGATGACACCTGGAGTTGCTGGCTCAGGCTCGTCCAGATTTTGGTGGCACTGTGTGGGGGGTGGTGGTGGGGGTGGTCGCCTTCTCCTGCTTGTCCGGTGGGCGGTGGAACATGACAGGGGGAAAGAGCTTCATCCAGCCCATTTCTGAATCGTTCGCTGTCCTGCGACCCCCTTGACCCTTTACCGCCTGAACCCTGGACCGGGGAGGGTGAAGTGGACCCAGGAGCGGCTTCGATGGCCAGCCTGCCCCAGGGTCCGGTCTGAGTTCGGACGTTGACCCTTCTTTTCCCAGAGCCCTGGAGGAGGACGAGCGCCTGGAGCGGGGGCTGGAGCAGCGGCGTCGGAAGCTGAGCCGACAGCTGAGCCGTCGAGAGCGCTGCCTGCTGAGCTGAGCCCGGGCCGGGCTGGACTGGGCTGGGCCGGACCGAGCCGCGGACCGCCGTCCAGTCCCTTAGGGTGGCCGCTCCCTTTTGGGGTGGGTGAGGGACGAGGGTCGCCGCTGGTCCGGGCTATGGCCACCCGAGCTTCCCGGGGTCCTGAGTCCCCAGTCCTGGGGATCTCCTGTCACCCCACCCGTCAAGCGGAGTGGGCCAGGAGGCCTGGCACTGGGCCAGAGGGTCTCTACTCCCTTCCGATCTGCCTGGCTCCTGCGGCTCGGCCGGCCTAGGTCAGGCAGCTGCAGTCCAGCCACAGGCCTCCGGGTCCCGCGCTCCGCCTTCCCGCACCCCCAAAGGATCCGCCTCTCAGCTTTCGTCCTTCCCCACCCCACTTGTGCCTTTCCGCGCGTGGCCACCAGAGGCCGCCGTGGAGCCTGGTTTGCAGCACTCCCGGGGTGTGGGGGGACCCTAGCCATGGGGTCGGCCCGGTCTCCAACCCCGCGCCCAACGGGCCGTATTTATTGAAGCGTGTGTGCGTATGTGTGTATGTATATTTGTGTATGCGTGGGAGCCTAGGGGGCCCGCTGCACTTGGGGACCCTCGACCATCTCCAGTGGGTTCTTGGACCTTCGGTAAACGAACGAGAGGGAGTCGGGGCAGAGTGCTCCATAGCTCAGTCCCCCAGGTTCCATTCCGCCTTCCCCCAGCCCAGCAAAGGGCTCCCGTGGTTCTCGGTAAGCGGGGGTGGGGGGGGGTGTAACAGAACCATCGATAATTGAACCTGTGGTGATGACTGGCTGCCAAAGTCGTCTCTGCAATCCCTCGGTCCCCCGGACCACCCCCAGGGACCAGGAGTTTGCCGCAATAAATTCTGACTCGGAGCCCGGGCTCCGCCTCTCCTTTCCTCGCGGCCCCCCCATGCCAGGTGGGTTTGGCGGGGGGAGGAGTGGCCTAAGGGTGGGCGAGGCTGGGGGAGGCAGATTTGCAAATAAGGCAGTCCCCCCAGGTCTGGCTGTGGAGCCAAGGTCGGGTCTGCATCCTAGCTTGGCTCCGGGGCCACTGTGTGACCTGGCAAGCGCGTGCAAGCCCCCTCAGCATCCCAGCTTCCTCAGGCACAGAATGAAGGGGGTGAAGACCTCGGCATCTTCCAGCTCTGAGTAACATACAAGAGCTCATGTTCCTAAGGTACCAAGGACTTCCGTTCACATCAAGGCAGCGAAGGGGTGTAGGACAGGAGACATTGCCCATTTTACAGATGAGGACACTGAGGGTAGCCTGCATTATAAAACTAGCTGGCCCGGGCTTCTGTGGCCTTAGGCAAGTTTAGTTCCTTCCCTGGCCCTGCTGCAGAAGGGCCATACTGTTCCAGTGCCAGATGCTGGGTCCAAGGCATTACTTTTTACCAAAGCCCCTGGGCTGCTGTGGCCGGGCCTGGGGGCTTGGATCTGAGGGGGCTGGGAAAGACTGAGCCGCAGACAAGCAGGAAGCACACTCTTCTTTATTCACATACACCCCCACACCACCCACCTACACACCCCCACACCACCGACCTACTCACCCACCTGCCCACACATACACACCCCAATACCACACACACACACACACACACACACACACACACACACACACACACACACACACACACATCCCCTAAAGCTCGCAGCATCCCATCAGCTCCCTCAAGCCCCATAGTTCTAGCCGTTTTCCACTCTGGCCATGTCGACCCCACTTCACACTGTGGAGGAGGGGGACACTCCAAGTTCTGTGGGGCAGCTCAAGGGGTGCTGATCTGTCCCAGGGAAGGTGGTAGGAGGCGGGCAGTTGCTAAGGGTCAGAGCATCCTGAGTCACAATGCCCGTTTGGTCCTCTGGGCTCTTGGAGATGCTGTAGCTGAAGAAGGCCACGACTGCTTGGACCTCCTTTAGCTCTGAGACTGTCTCCAGAGTCAATAGCAGGGTGAGCAGCCCCAGAAGCAGGTAACCTGGTGGAGAAGAGTGAGAGTGAGGGAGAGAATAGGATGAGGGCCCCTGGGCAGCCGAAGTTCACATTGTTTGTACCCCTGCTCTTGGAAAGAGTGGCTGGGCTCTTGCCTCACCCTCCTCTCCTGCTGTGCCTTCCCCACTTCCTTCTGGCCTCTGGGTCCCAGCCTGGGAGAGACGCCTGTCTCTGCAACAAATGGGCAGCTGAGCCCTCGGCCCCTGGGATGGGGAGCAGCGAGAGGCAGAGTCTTCCTTCCCTTCTGCAGCAGGCCAGCTTCTCAGTGGCAGTCACAGAAGGGACCTCTGAGGCATCAGTCATCCCCTGGTTCACACCCCGCACAAGTGACCAGCTCCCCCTCGCTCCACCATTGCTAGCACTGCCCTCTCTGGCCAAGAGGAGCAAGATGCCTAGGCCTCCCCCAGGAGAGCTTTCTGCACAGTTTGAAGATCCTTCTGGTCTTCCTTAATTCTTAAAAAAACACTCCAGTTGTGGTAAGCTGCCTCCCGCTGCTGGGAAGAGCCTTCCTACTGAAGGGCCTCAAAGCAGCCCCCTTGGGGATGCTTGGTCACCAAAAGCCAGCTCATCCCCTCCCCAAGCTTCTTTGTCATTCACCTCCTGCTTAAGGCAAGACCCTGGAAGGTTGTCCCCCCCACCTTAGGAAAAAGCACCAGGTTTGGAGTCAAAGGACCTGGGTTCAGTCTTGACTCTGGCACTTATTACGCCTTTAGTGGAGTCATCTTTCTCCTCTGTAAATGAAGGAGTTGGAGTAAATGATCCTTGAGGGCCCTTCCAATTCAATTCCTCTGCCACACTGGCCTGCCATGGTGCCTGAATTTCCACCATTAGAGCTACTTTCTACTTAGGGACTGGGTGTTCAGTGTAAAGGTGGCCTCACGGTCAGGAGGGTTCCCGGGCTCCCACCCCACCCCAGTGACCATCTCCTTTACTCACAGATGAGGGCCAGCTGGGAGAGCCAATAGAGGGCAGGGTGGCGGTCCTGGCCAGGCACCATGTCCCCCAGCCCAATCGTGCTGAGCGACATAAAACAGAAGTAGCAGGCGTTCAGCAGACTCCAGCCGTCCTCCTGGCTCCAGAGCACCAGGGTGGGCAGCAGAACAAAGATGGCGCCGACCGTCAGGCTCAGCAGGGAGGCTTGGAGCCAGGGGACCCTGGCAGGGGCCAGGCCACAGCGGGCAGCCGCCCAGATCGCCAGACTGTGCAGTGGGCGCAGCAGGTGCTGGTGCAGGACAGTGGCCAGCACAAGACCCGCGGGCAGGCCCAGGCCTGCGAAGCCCACACAGAAGGCCTTCCCGCCATCTGAGAGCAGGGCCGTGTGGCCGTAACCTGGACGGGGAAGAGAGGGAAGGAGGGACTGAACAGTGGCCTGCCAGACATGCAGGGACTGTGCCCTACCCATCCCCTTCCTGGCAGGAGTCTTCCAAGGCCTTCCAAGGTTCTCAGTTCTCCAGACCCACGGAGGTCCCCAGTGAAGCTGACTCCAAGCCGGGAAGCCCGGCAGCCACCCTTCCCTCCCGTTAAAAGTCTCCTCTCTGACTTCGGAGCCACCCTGACCTTGTGGGAGCTGCCCCTCCCCCAGGTCCCCAACAGAGATGCTTATCAGGGCGTGCCGTGTATCCCCCTCCTCAGAGGTCAACTCTATAAAACTCAGTCTCCAAGTTCAGCGGCCTTCAGAGGCTGGAGGCCCAGCCAGGTGGGAGCAAGAATGGACCCTGCAGGGGGCAGCTAGGTGGCGCAGTGGATAGAGCACTGACCCTGGAGTCAGGAGGACCTCACTTGACACTTACTAGCTGTGTGACCCTGGGCAAGTCACTTAACCCCATTGCCTATCAAAAAACAAACAAAAAACCAAGAATGGCCCCTGTGACATCCTCTTCTCAAAGACCTCCCAAGATGGGGAGCTCACTACCTGGGCAAGCAGCCCTTCCACTTTTGATGGCTCGGTTCACTAGTGAGCTTTTCCCTCCTCCGGAGCCCAGATTTATTATCTGTCTCTTCGTCACTTCTGTTAATTCTTCCCGCAGCTGCTTAGAACAATCCTCCTTCTGCAGGGATGCCCCAGCAGCCGGCACAAAGCTCTGTATCCCCCGGGCATTTAAGGAGGGTGACCCGTCCCCTGCGACGTTGCTGAGAGTCACGTGACCACGTCCCACGGCTCTTGAGCTGAGAGATTCCAGAGACCCTCACCTTTGGGTCCAACCTCCTGATTTGATGAGTGGGGAAACTGAGGCCCAGAGAAGGCAATGGCTTGCTCAAGGTCCCCCAGCCAGCCCTCGAAGTGAGCATCCCAGCTCTCAGTCTATGGGCCCCTTTGTACGCCCCTTCTTCTAACGTTTCACTGGGATATTGACAGTTGGGATTCTGAATAACAATTCAATTCAGCAGACGCTCTGAGCCAGCCAGCACTGGGCTGTATGTTGGGGACTGACTTTCTTTCTTTTGAAATTTAAGCAAAAACCCAGACACCATCACCTGCACTCTCTAGTGGCCTCATAGACTATTTGGAGTCCAGAGGGCCTGAGTTCAAATTCTGCTCTACACACTTACTAGCCGGGTCCCTTATTTTCTCTGAGCCTGTTTCCTCATCTGTAAAAACGGAGATAATAATATCCTGGACAAGAGAAAAGTCGGAGTGGGGGGGAACCTGGGGGGGAGCCATCCTCGCTTTCAAATAATTGAAGGGTTGTCACGGGGAGAGGGTTGTTCATGTTTCTTTTAACTGGAGGGGGGCAGAACCAGGGGTGGGGGTAGTACAGAGGTACATCGGGCCTCGATCCCAGGAACATCTTCCCAACAGAGCTGGAAGGAGTGAGCTCTCCATCACTGGAGCGCTTCAAGCAGAGGGCAGCTCTCCATTTGTTGCCGTTGTTGTTTTGGCGAGGCAATGGGGTTAAGTGACTTGCCCAGGGTCACACAGCTAGTAAGTGTTATGTGTCTGAGGCCAGACTTGAACTCAGGTCCTCCTGACTCCAGGGCCGGTGCTCTGTCCACTGCGCCTCCTCGCTGCCCCTATAGTTCTCCATTTGTCAGAGAGGTCACGGGGCCTGAGGACCCTCCCAAACCCGAGATTCGGGGCCGGGTTCCGCTCGCTCCTCTCCAGTTCCAGAGGGAGCAGCCCGGAGTGGGTGGGGCTCAAAGGCAGGACACACCCCTGCTGGCTGATAAACTGGAGGTACCGGTTGGGAAGCGTCAGGGGTTGGGAGGCTATCCCCCTGCACCCCACGCTGGGTGCCTGTGTGTGCAGAGGGGAATCTCTGGTCTTGTCAGTGGGCTGCCCCATCCAGGAGCGCTAGGGCAGGGGGAGGAAGACCCTGGCCACCATTCCACCCCATGGGGGTCGGCAGTGTGTGGGCTCTAGAAATCCCTGGCCTCTTCCCTTCCTCCAGGGCCTCTTACCTGTGGTAGTGAGGATGCTGACAGCAAAGAACAGAGCAGAGGCAAAGTCCCAGTTCTCAGGCTCGGTGGCATTGCCCAAGGCAGAGACGCCATAGGTCTGGGCTCGCAGGACCACCTCCAGTAGTGCCTCCAGCTTGTCAGGGGACAGGCAATCCCGGTGGTCTGCCTGGAAGGCAGCCAGGTGCCCCAGCAGCTGTTCCCGGAGCCTGTGCTCAGGGGGACCCTCGATGACCATGAACACAGCAGACCCTAGCAGTAAATAGGCCAGGTAACAGGCCAGGAGCAGCCAGTATCGGGCCCCGGGCCCCATGCCCAGCATCCCCCGTGCTCCTCAGATCCGGGAGCAGGGGAGGGGAGTGGCGCAGGGCTCCTGGGCTCTGAGGGACAGGGACGGACAGCAAGCAGCTGAGAAACAGAGCTCCTGGGTGCTGGGAGGAGGACAAGGGCGGTGCCCCGTGTGGGTGAATGAGAGGGGATGAGAACCTGGGATGAGGGAGGAGCCTTAAGCTGGAGGTGTGTGGGCTGGGGACCAGGGGAGAGTGATAGCAGTCACCCTAAAAAGCATCTTGCAATTTACAGGTGGAACAGAGGGAAAGAGACTTGTCCAAGCACACTCAGCCGTTAGCAGACCCCACAGGTCCCGAGACTCTGTTCTCCTTTCTTTCCAACCCCGTGCTCACATTCTGTGTCGTCACTTCACCAGCCACGGGCGGGAGGCAGGGGAGCGGTCACCGTGTCCAAGAGCATCTCAGGAGCCAGATCTGGGAAAAGCTGGAGAGATTATCTGGCCCACCATCCTCAGTTTACAGGTGGGGAAACTGAGGACCAGATAGGCCCCAGATCCTCAGGCCAAGCTCCCACAGCTCTAGGGCCTGCAAGGAAAACCCAGTGCTTACTGCCCACCCCACTGATCACCAGAGCAACAGCCAAGCCTTGAGGGTTTTGTTGGTGGCCTCTGTACCATGTGCGCCCCTGCTTGGGATGCCTTCGCATGTCACCTCAGCCTCCCACAGCCCCCGTGCCCCCTTCTACAGGCTTCCTTTTCCCGATCCCCCCAGCTGCAGTGTTCCCCTCAAACACACACACATGCACACACACACACACACACAACTTCTCTCTCTCTCCCTCCCTTTCTCTTTCTACTTCCCTGCCCCCTGTTCTGTCTCTTTCTCTGTCATGTGTCCCTTTCCTTCCCTGCCCCCCTCCTCTCTCTGTTCTCTCTCTGTCTCTCTTTCTCCCTCCCTCCTGTGACATTGCCCCTACCCTGGTGCAGACTCTCATCCCCTCACACCAGGACTATTGCAGGAGCTGCTGGCAGAAGTGATGGGGGGGACCTGCCTGCCTCAGGCTTCTCCCCACTGCACTCCATCCTCCACTCAGCCACCAAAGAGATGTTCCTCAAGCCCGGGTCTGGTCCTGTCACCCCCTACTCAACAGATTCTGATACAGAATTCTCTGTTTGGCCTTCACAGCCCTCCATAACCTGGTCCCCTCCCACCTTTCCAGTCTTCCAACCCCTTACTGTTCTATCCAGTGATCCTGGCCTCCTGCTGCCTCTCTCTCTCCACTGTGGGCCTTCTCTCTGGCTGTACCCCAGGCCTGGACAGGCTCCCCCTCCTCCGCTTTGACCACTGACCTACCTGTCTTCCTTTAAGGCCCAGCTAAAGCCCAGCTCCTCCAGGAAGCCTTCCCCAGCCTCCTTAATACCAGCATCTTGCATTGGTTAATTATTTCCCGTCTCTGCTACATTTAACTTCCTTTGTATGTATGTGTTTACACATTATTTCCCTCATTAGAATGTAGGCTTCTGGAGGGTAGAGTCCTGCTTGCATGTTTTTTTATATTAGCTTTTTAATATTTCTTGAGTTCCAAATTCTTTCTCTATTGCCCCCACCCACCCACTGAGAAGGCAAACAGAAGAACACTGATCAAGGACATGAAATCGCCCAGAAGGGTTTCCACACCAGCCATCACCCACCCCCAGAGCTTGCTCGTCTCTGTAACCCACCATTTTGGGCAGTTCTCTTTTCAGGCCTGCAGTCTTCCCCAACAGCAGGCAATCTTCTCGAGGGCAGGACAGTTCACTTTTGTCTCTTGTGCCCAAAGTCCTTACTCTTTGTGGACTGACTGCATTTCCAAAGCTACTAACATCCCGGCTCTAGGTCTCAGGGCCAGATGCCAGTTACTCCCAGAATCCTCTCCCATAGTCCAACAGAACAAAGCTGAGCCAGTGTAGACAGCTGAAGTTTATTTGGTTTCAGTGGCACTCTAGGGCCTAAGAGTCTAGGCTGTGACCTCCAGACCAGGGCTGGGAGGTGGGGGGGGAGTGTTCTGGGAGTCCCCACCTCTAAGGACATGACAAGCTGCGGGATGGAGGGGGGGCGTGCGCTCCTGCCCTCCTTAGGGGAGGAGGCCCCATCCCAGACAGTCTCTGGGCCACTGGGGAAACACAGTGGAATATACCCCAATGGTGGTGATGGCCCAGTCACCCCTGGACACATCAGCCCCTCCCTCTCCCCCATCCCCAGGGGCCACAACCACATAGCTTTGCACTCCCTGCCTCCCGCCCCGGGGCCAGGGGAAGGGCGGACAGTGATTCCCTGAGACAGGTTCTGGTGCCCCCTAAACCAGCCAGTTACAGTGTCAAGCCCCAACTGGGGAAGAAGAGGGCCAAGGGGATGGCTTCACAGGATGGCAGGGGGGACCCCAGCCTCCCCTCAGTCCAGTGTTAAGGCTTCAGGTGCAGCAATAGTGTTCCAGGGAAGGAAGGTTTCATCCCCATCTTGTGCCTCCCCCCCCCAAAAAAGGGCCACCTTAGAGGAGAAAATGGGAGCCTCTAGAAGAAACTGAGGCAGCTGGGAAAGGGCCCTAGCTCCTAGAGACTGCTCAGCCCCTTCCAGAGGGACTAGGGAAATAGTGGGCAGGGGCCATCAGCCCCATGGATATAGTGGCCTTTTGGGGGTCCGGCCCCTTTCTCCTTTTCCAGTGTATACAGTGGCTCCTGGAGAGGGCCCCCTCTGGCTGAAGGTCCCCCTTGGGGGGCATCCGCCTCCCCAGGGCCAGCTCCCTGAAAGGCTCCGAGGTGCTCCCACCTCATTGTGGGGTATGCCTTGCCCCCATCATTCAGGGGCTCCCCTCTGGTTCTGTGGCTCCCCAAGGAGCCTGGCCCCCCATGTCTTTGGTCTGGGCTCTCCTGTTCTGCGGGGACTCTGGCCCAAAAGGGTCGAAGGGTGGGGGGTCCCGGAAGGGGTCTGAGTCTGGGAACAGGGTCCAGGGGGCTCGACGTGGGGTGGGCTGCGGAGATGGAAGTGGGGATGGGCGGGGTCCCGTGGACACAAAACTCCAGGGGTCGATGCGGCTCCGAAGGGGTGAAGGCCGAGGCCTGCCGATGAGGCCCAGTGTTGGGGATCGGGGGGTGCCAGGAGGGGAACGGAAGGCCCCAGGAGGGGGGGAGACAGCCCCACCTGCAAGGAAAGCAGAGGAGAAGCTTAATACAGGAGAACACGGGGCCACCCCAAACCTAGGCCAACCCTCCCACCAGCCTCGTGAGGCCCAGGCCTTGACCTCCTCACTACCAGACCCCCTCCTAAAGAAGCCAATGCAAAGGGAAGCAGTGGGAGGTCCCAGAAGGAGCTAGCCTCTCACTGACCCCACATCAAGGTGCTGGGCCAGGTGGGCTCTTTGACAGGGACGGCCCTGTTCTAAGAGCCCTCTCAGCTCTAGGCCTCTGCGTCCTAAGGTCTCGTCCATTTATGATGTTCTGTGATGTTCTATGATCTCTTCTAGACCTGACATCCCCTGTTCTAAGGGCCCTCTGAGCTCTAGGCCTCTGCATCCTAAGGTCTTGCCCAGCCATGACGTGCTATGACCTCTTCTAGGTCTGATATCCCCTGTTCTAATGGCCCTCTCAGCTCTGATGTTGTACACTCTAAATTCCAAGTTCCCTCCTCCTTCTGATAAATAGACAGCTGCTTTTTGGAGTCTGGAGATTCGGTCCCTGCCTTCAGGCTGGGCCTTCTTACCCCGCATCGCCTCCTCTCGGCGGGGGCTTTTGGCAGAGGGCTGCCCCCCAGGGGTTCCCAGGTCAAGCAGCGGGGGGCTGGGAGGCGTCTCAGCGTCCAGGCTCAGTGGGGAGGTCGGGGCATCTGGAGTTTTGGGAGAGAAGCAAATGAGGGGGGAGGGGGGTGACGCCGCCACCTCCTCAGGGGTAGCATCTCCCTTGTCTCGGGCCCCGCCGCCAGCCTGCTGCAGATCACGGCCCAGCCCCAGAGAGGCCAGCAGAGCCGTCCCCCGGAGCAGGGCACGCTGGATGATCTTGGGCGTTCCGCTCCGGTCCGAGGGGCCTGCTCGCCGAGGCTCCTCGGGCTCTGGGGGGCGGATGTCACCTGAGGAGGAAGCACAGAGCAGGCGCTTCAGGGGACAGAGAAGGGAGGCCCTGGGCCGAGGAAGAAGGCAGCACCACGAGGCTTTGCCCTTCTCCCCACTTCCCTCCACTAGCAGGTCCCAGCCCCCTTCACAGAGCTGCCTGGGCCGCCCCACTCCACCTTAGACCTCTGGCCATTTCGATGGTAGTTCTTCAAGCCTAGGTCTGCAAGCCACAGCCCTGGTCACTCCTGGGCTCAAGGGGCCCCTCCAATGCAAGGCCTTTCCTGATCCCTTACACACCTGAGTGTTCCCCCTCTAACATAATGACTATCTCCTTCTCTGCACCTTATTTCCCTCCAACAGAACATAAGCTCCTCAAGGCAGAGACGGGCTCATTTTTGTCTTTGCATTCCCAGAGACTACCATCATGCCTGGTATACAGTAGGTACTTAATAAATGCTGATTGAGCTCAATGGATGCGATTTCTCTTGGGATCACTAGACAGAGGGACTGAACGAGGAAATGCCCTCCCTCCCCCTCCAAATCTGGTTGCTCTCTAAGCCCTCTGCTCCCCCAGGAAGTCTTTCCTGAGGGGCTGGCCCAGCCCCATGCCTGCCAGCACTGCCCATAGCGTTGAATACTGATCTGTGGGGAGCTCCAGGAGGGTGGGACAGAGGCGTGACCTTCTCCAGCCTCATCTGGCCTCCCTTCTCCCTTTGGCTCCCATGGAATTCCCACGCGCATAGTAGGATTGACCCAGGCACCTGGCTCCCAGCCTGCCCCCCACAGTTCCATCTCCCTCTCTCCAGGGACATGGCAGGCACCATGCTGGGGACTCGACATACAGAGAATTTCTGCCTCCTAGATGCTGTGTATTACTGGGGGAATACTGAGTTATCATGAAGGCTTCCCCTAGGAGGTGACGCTGAGTTAAGCCTTGTGAAGGCAGGCAGGACTTCACGCAAAGGCATGCAGGTAGAAGATGACCTTTGCAGGGAGGGCAGCTCGGTCAGTCTGGCTGGAATGAGGGGCTTCGTAAAGGGAGGAATGTGGGTAACCCTGGCTGGGAGGGGCCGGAGTGGAAGGGGCCCCTTGTCCCTTCTTGGGCCTCCTCTGGCACACAGAGCCTGAATCCCTCATCTGCCATCTGGCACACTTGGGTCTCGCTCACTCATCCTCCCTCAGTCCAAGTACCAGCTCGAGCCTCATTCCCCTGGGCACTGCCCCAGGCACACAGCAAGGCACCTGAGCCATCCTTGTGGGCGCCATTGGGTCCCCTCCTCCCAGCCATCCCCCTGCAGGAGAGCTGCCTTCAGATGTCCTCTGATGGGGAGAAGGAGGCGGGGCCTGCGTTGCTCTAATCACTCTGGTTCTACCTTGGGGATACAGGTTTCCACCAATCAGGTGGCAGGACAAGTGCACAGGGCCCCCCAGCAAGTATCAGAAACCTCCTTGTGAGCATCCAGGATGGGCCAAAGGGGGCCCAGAACTGTCTCCCAGAGAGGACCTGAAGGGCTGTGGCTCGGCAGCAGAACACTCACCATTGAGCGTAGGGGGGGTGGATGGAGACCCCAGGGGGGACGGGTCATTGGAGTCCAGGTACCAGGTTGTCTCATCCATTCGGGACCGCCTCCTGGGGAGGGCAGGAGAGCAGAGGTGAGCAACAGAGTGGGGAACGGGGTGGAGGAGGTGCCGGGTGGTCTGGGGCCTAAGCAGGACACTCACCTCCCATTCTGAGCCTCTCCTGACTTAGGGGACCCAGGCCCCCAGGCCCAGCACGGCCGGCGCTCCCCATTCCCTGGGTCTTCCAAGCGTCGTGGGGACTGGCGACCCCAAACCTGTCCAGTGTCTGCAGCTTCCACTGAGAAAGAAGGGAAGAGGATCTGACTCAGGAGCCCTGCTCCTCCCCACTCAGGGCAGGGCAGCCAAGGCTGGCACCCCACAGGGAAGGGGGAAGAAGGGAGGAAGGCAAGCTCTGCCCCCCACTCCCTGGGCAATCTTGCACAAGGCATGCAGCCCTCTGGGACTGTTTCTCCTTCCAGGGCTAACATTCCCTGCTGAATGGAAAGGGGGGAGCTAAGCTTGTCAGGTGGGGGCGGACACCTGGGTCCCAGGGCAGGGGTCTCTTACACTGGATGGCCCTGAAGCGTGGGAAAGTGGGTGAGTCCCCGGCCCCGACCTCAAAGACGTTTTTCCTCCGGTCCAAGCCAGGAGAGGCCTGCACGGTGATCCGGTGCTTGAAGTCTAAGGGTGGTCGCAGGGAGAAAAAAAGTGACCAGATGGCCTGAGCCCCGACTCCCAGGCCCCGCCCCCACCACTCACAAGGCAGTATGCAAATAAACTCCGTCTAGGCCCCGTCCCGCTCCCGGGAGCCCCACCCCCTCCACCTAGAGCCACTCACAAGGAAGCATGCAAAGAGACCCTGCGGCGAAGCCCCGCCCCCTCACCGAGAGGCATGCTGATCCTCTCGCCGCCGTCCCGCGCCCGCAGCTTGCTGCGCTTGAAGGTGCCCCGGCGGCGGCGCACGTGCGGCCGCTCTCGGTCCACTTGCTGCAGGAGCAGGGTCAGCTCGCGCTCGAACACCTCCAGCTCCCACTGCGCCAGCAGGTGCTCGCGCCGGCGCAGCTGCTCGGCCTGGGAGCGTTGCTCCCGCGCCGCCCGGGTCAGCTCTTCCTCGCGGCTGAGCAGCTCCTGGGCGGGAAGGCGGGGGGGGGGGGGGTGTCCCGCGTTAGAGGCCCCGGCGCCCCGGCCCCCAGGGGGTGCCCCCTCCTCCAGGACCGGGCAGCCCTGCCCCTGGGAGAGAGCCCCGCCCCCCAGGGGGGTGCCCCTTCCTCCTCCTCCAGGACCCTGAAGCCCCGCACCCCCCCCTCCTCCTCCAGGTTCCTGGAGCTCTCCCAAATTCTCTCCCTCCCCTACTCCCACCCAGGCTCAGAGATGGAAAGCTGGAAAAGCTGCTGGCTGCTCCCTCCTCATTTTCTAGCAGAGGAAGCAAAGGGGGCAGGGTGGCTAGCCCAGCCCGTCACACCAGCAGTCAAACAGCAAAGACGACATCCTGCCCCGTCGGCTCCGGGGTCTCGGGTGTCCTCCTCCTAGGCTCCCTGCCCACCCCGGCCCACGGGCTCCCCTAGCCTCCTGCCTTCTGAGGAGCCAGGCATTCTGGACCCCCAGCTGCCCCTGCAGATCTGCCTAGCAGCCCCTGTCCTGGGTCCAGACACACTGTCCTCACCAGGAACCTCATCACCCGCACTCCTAGTCTCCCCCAGCGGCCTCCTTTCTAGGGGACCCAGATGTCCCCCCCCCAGCCCCATCTTATAAGGCAAGGACTAAACACACTGGATTTGGAGACAAGAGCTGGGGTCAGATCCTGGCTCTGCTCTCAATGCTCCCATCCCTTCCCAGGGCCCAGGGAGCCAGCACCTTTTCCTTTGCCCGGATCTCATCAAAGAGTCCTTGGATCTCCCGCTTCCAGCCGTCCTGCATGGAGTGGAAGGAGTCTCGGGGCATCTCCCTCAGCACCTGGGCTTCCAAGGCCGACAGCTGCTGCAGGATGGCTGCGAAGTCTGGCCGGCGGTGGGGGGTCCTGCGCCCAGCAGTCTTAGGGGAAGGAGCAAATGGGAGGAGAGGATGGGGGGCTCTCCCTGCGTTTCCCCCCCCCGCCCCCTCCCCAGCGCCCCGAATGCTTGGCTCCCTTACCAGCCATGAGCTGAGCAAAGGGCTCCGGGCAGGTGGAGGGGATGGGCAGGGTGAGCTTGTTAACGGCGACTCCGTAGGCCACGGCCAGGCCGTCGATGCCACGGTATGGCACCTCCCCGGTCAGCAGCTCCCACAGCAGCACCCCGAAGCTGCGGGCCAGAGGAGAAGCCCGAGTCAGTTCCCGACCCTGCGGGTGCCCCCCTCCCTCTCCCCTGGTCAGGGCCCTCGGACCTCCAGACGTCGCTGCCCTTGGAGAAGGTGGAGGCCTTGATGACTTCGGGCGCCATCCAGGCATAGGTGCCCGCGGCACTCATCTGGGTCGTCTTGTGCCACTCTCGGGCCAGGCCAAAGTCGGTGATCTTCAGGGTCTTGTGCTCCACGTCGTCCCCCTCCACGGGCTGCAGCAGCAGGACTGGGGCGAGAGGAGAGCCCCGTGAGCGGGAAAGGGCCCCGGAGCACACCCCTGTCCTTTCACCGACCGGCCTCAGCGCGGGGCAGAGACAGGACGCCCAGCAAGTCATGTGGCACGGTGGTGCACAGAGGGTTTTGTCTGGGGACGGGATGAGTGTCAGATTCCAGGAGGCCCACTGAGGCAGACGCTGCGACCAGTCACCCAGGCAAGCAGGTAGCTCGGGTGGCCAGAAGGTTTCTTAAGGTCTGACCGCTACTGCTCCTGCCCTGCTCAAAAAGCCCTCTGTGGCTTCCTAGGGACCCTGGGAGAAAATGCAGGGACAGCGCTTCACAGCCTGGTTCCAGTCACCCAGTCTAGTCCGACGTCAGTGTCTTCACCCCAAACTGGACCATCTCCTGCATCCAAGCATCTGCCTCCACCAGTCCTCCATGCCTGCCATGCACACCCTCCTCACCTCTGCCCTCTCAATGCCCCGTTTCCCTCCCGGGCTCCCTCATGACGCCTCCTTTGAGCCCCGGAGCCCCCTCTGTTTGCATTCTTTTTTCTCAGACTATCCTAGGGTACATACTCTCTGATTTCTCCTTAGCCCCTACCACTCCCCAGCTTTTATTTAACTATGGAAAGAGCATTGGCCCCGAGCCGGAGAAGCCAACCTTTCATCTCACCTCTGGTACATACTAGCGTGACCCTAGGCAAGTGCCCAAAGTCCCTTTCTGGGCCTCAGTTTTCATATCTGTAAAATGGGGAGGGGGGGACGGACAGAGGGAGGTATGAACTAGGTGGTCCCCAAGGGCTTTACAGCCAGGCAGCTAGGTGGGCCAGGCAGGAAGGCTGGAATTCAAATTCTGCCCAAGACGCTTACTAGCTGTGTGACACCAGGAAAATCACTGAACTTGTATGTGCCTCAGTCTCCTAACCTATACAATGGGCATGATAATTACACCTCCTTCATAGGGTTTTTTCAAGACTCAAGTGAGATATTTGTAAAGAGCTCAGCACAGTGCCAGGCATGCAGCAGGCATTCAATAAAACGCCTTTTGCCATCCCCTCAGAGCCGGACAGTTGCAGCTTAATGAGAATGACGTTTCTTTAGAGCTGTCAGGTTTCCAAAGAAATTGGGTAGGTGATCTCAAGGAGTCTGATGACAGCCCTGGGCCACGGGGGCTGCCATGACTGGTTCCCGTTTTATGGGTGACAGGACTGCAGCTCCGTGGCTGAGCTCCAGCTAGGGCGGGTCTCCCTAGGAATTTGAACCCAGGCTTCCCTGACCCCAAGCCCAGCGTTCTCTGGTGAAACCAGGCCGAAGGGAAGGGAAGGGGGGAAGCCAAGGAGGGGATTCCTCTTTGCCTCTAGTTCATTTCATTTCCTGTTTCCTCCTGGGCCTCAGCCCCACCCTCAGGCTGCTGCCTTAAACTTCGGAGAGGCAGCCAGGTACTGTGGGAGGAGCCCTGGCTCAGAGTTCAAATCCCATCTTGATGCTCCCTCCTTTGGCGACTTTGGGCCCATCCCGTTTCCCTAGGCCTCAGTTTCCTCATCTGTAAAGGACCTAGGAGCCTGGGAGCCCCTCTTGCCCATCACACCATTCCTTCTGGCTTCACCACCTGGAAGGGAGGGCTTTTAAGTTTCCTGGTGGGCTTCCCATCCTGCCTCAAAAGCAGAGGGGGCTGGGACAGCTAGGTGGCTCAATGGAGTCAGGAGGATCTGAGTTCAAATTCAGCCTCACTTACTAACCAAGTGACCCTGGGCAAGTCAGTTAACTCCAATTCCCCCCCCCCAAAAAAAAAAAGCAGAGAGGGCTGGGCAGCAGCTGAGGCCCAGACAAATCGAGGGCCTCCCCTAAGGTCACACAAAGCAGAGTCTGGATTGGTCCCAAAGCTGGGCAGGGCCATGAGCATGTCCAGAGGGACCCAGAAACGAATGGCCTCAAAGGTGCCTTCCAGTTCCAATCCCAAGACTGGCAGAGCTGGCATGCGGGCAGGTGCCCTTCATGCCCCCCTCCCTGAGTTCCCGCCCAGCAGTCCTGGGTTGATCCCAGGGAAGCAGGGAAATGTCACAGTCATAGAATGTGGAGCTGGACACGCCCTTGGAGACCAGTTTCCCCAGTGGGATGTAAGCTCTCTGAGGACAAGAATCATTTCATTTTCTGTCTTGTTAGCCCCAGGGCCTGGCACCTAGGAGGCACTTAATAGAATTCTCATTGAATTGAACTGAATGGAGCTCTCTCACTGGACAGATGAGGAAACTGAGGCCCAGACAGACATGGTTAGCCCTGGGCTGCACAGGCCTGGAAGCTGTGTCCTGAGCTCCAATCCAGCCAGCTGAGCCATAGAGGGAAGTGGCCTGCCAGGCTCAGATGTCTCTATTTCCTGCCTTTCTGGGCTTCCCTGAGGGGTCGCATGGCCTCGGCTCACTCAGCCTGGCCCAAAGGCCTGGCTCGGTTCTTCGCTGTTTCCAAATCCCAGGACTTGGCCTCACTTGGCCCCCAAGGCTACCCAACTCCGTGGAGCCCTGGGCTGGCTCTGTCCCTCAGCCCTGTCCAGACTTCTTCCCCTTCCCTTCCTGGTCCTCCCAGCTTCCCCTTTCTAAGCAACCTAAGTCGGGGGGTGAGGGGAGCAGGGCTGGCCTGGGCTGGGGCAGCCCTGGAGAGCTAGTCCTGTGACTCGTGGGTCTGGAGAATTCCCTCCCTCCTCTCCCCCGGCCAAAGCTCACAAGGACCCCATTGTCCAGGCCACTACAGGAAAATCAGCCCATTGTTTTCTGCCATGTCCCCCCACCCCCGGGATAGGGATCCCCCCTTCCCCAAGCACTCAGGACTCCTGGGCCCAGGACTGGAGTCTAGAAGGAGGCAGGACGCCCAAGCTCTGGGAGGCCAGAGGCCCAAGGTGCCTAGGTTACAGGAGCCAAATCACAGCTCAGCATCCCATCGGGGGGGGGGGGGGTTGGCCCGGGGGGGGGGGGGACTGCTCCCAGCTCTCCCCACAGTCCACCCCCGCAGCCAGCTGGGCCTGGAGAGGGAGAGGGAGACGGAGAGAGGAGGCCAGGGCAGGGACAGGAAGCCCGTTCAGGAAACGCAGGAAGTAGCAGGGAGGGTGGGGAGGGGGGCTCAGGCTATTGTTCCATTTTCTCTGTAAAGAGGAGGGAGGAAAAACAGAAGCCAGGAGTCCCCTCCCCCCAGCCAGGGGTCCAGCCTGCAGGGGAATCCCCTCTCCTGGTGGGCGCAGGGCTGGGGGTGCACCCTGCCTGGGCTCTGGGGGAATAGGGGCCCTTTCTGGTGTCTGTGGCCTCCCTTCCCCCAGCCTAAGGAGCCAGAAGTGGGGAAGGCTGGAAGCTCTGGGCCCAGCAGAGACACAGAGCTGGAGCCAAAAGGGACCTTGGACGTCATCTGGTCTTGGCCTCTCCTTTGACCGAGGGGAAACTGAGGCTCACAGAGATTCGAGGGCTCAAGTCACCTGCGGTTAGTGGGCCTGAATGCAAGGCCTGACTTGGGAGTCTCTGCTTTCCCCAAACCACTAAGCAGGGGCCCACCTCTCTCTGCTTTCTGCTGATGTTGTGATGTTGAGTTCCCCCATCCAGGAGAGAAGGACCCAGAACTCCCTGCAGACCCGAATCCCCAGCCCCGAGCTTCCTGGGGGCTTGGGAGGCCAAGGGGCCACCTCTGCTACCTGCCCAATTCTTCAATCTCAGCCCTGGGCCGGGGTCCAGACGACTCCTCACCCTCCTTGCCTTTGCCGTCTGAAACGCTCTATCCTTCCTCCTGCTGGGTCCCACCTCAAGCCCTTTTTCCTCCAAGAAGCTTTCCTTGGCTGCATGGGCCCCTCCCCCAGATGGACAGAAGGTCAGCGCCAGCCACATACAGCATACTTCCACACTGGTTCATCCTCTGTCCCCAGGTAGACTGAGGGCAGGCCCCAGCACGGGGCCTCAGAAATCTTTGACCTCAGTAATCACTGAATCTAAACTCCAGTACAGCTGAGGAAACTAGAGCCCAGAGAGGGAAACTGACCTCCCTGAGGTCTCATGGCACATCACTGGCAAAGTGGGACAAGGACTTTATTCTCCTGCCTTCTGGTCCAGTTCCCTTAGAAACAATTTTCAGGGGAAAATGTGAAAATATACATTCAAGAAACGATTGCTCGTTTATACTGGGCACTGGTGGGAAGGCGGAGGGGGAACAGACCAGTTTCTCGCCCTCCAGGAGCAGAGAGGCTAGCAAGGAAAACGAGACCTAGGCAGCTAACGGTCATGAGGACAAACGTGATGGGTGCCACAAGACAGGGATGGGCCTGGTAGGTGGGAGGAGGGAGGGAGGAAGCAGTGGGCACTGAGGTGGTCAGAGAAAGCTCCCTGGAGGGGAGAGAAAGATGGATGAGGCTGCACCAGGAGCTCTCTTGCAATGCCTAAGAGAGCCTGTTGTCTCTTTCACAAAGCCTCCAAAAGCCACAGTTAGACACTGAGACTTTGGGGTATAAGCGGCACTGTCCAGAGAAATAAATGCTGATTTAAGCCTCTACTATGTTCAAGGCCCTGCCTTTGGCTGGGGCAGTGGAACCCCAGGTCAGTGGGGAGGGAGGTGGTTCCCTAAACCTTAAGTGGTCCTAGTTGAGAAGGGAAGGCTAGGTTTCTCAGACAGACTGTCCACTCTGGTCCAGCCCCCCCAACACCCCCAGGATAGCACCAGTCTTGTCAGCCAAGGCCCCCGGCCACCCCTAGGATGCCTGCCAGTCCCCTCCTCTGTCTAGGCCTCAGTGTCTTCCGCTATAAGAGGAGGGGGTTGGATTCCATGTGATCTAAGGGCTCTTCCCACTTGGACATTCTCTGATCTTATGCCTAGGGTGGGGTGGGGTGAGAACCCTGTTTCTGGAGCCAGGCTTCAAGCCTGGAAACATCTGTAGGTTTGGAGTCAAAGAGTGAAGTCCAGAGCATCCCTGGGAAAGTCACTTCCCCGCTCTCTCTGCCTCAGTTTTCTCTTCTGCTAAATGGGGCCCTAGGGGCCCCACTTACCTTATATGGAACATTACCCCTTAAAAGAGAGGAAGGGGAGTTGCCCTTGTTATTATCAGACCACCACCCTGCAGCTGAGCTGTGGGAGCCCCAGCCACCTTCCTTCCAACTGTTTTCTCAAGGAGCAAGATTCAGAGAAAGCAGCTGGCTTCTCCGGGTTCCAGGTATCCTGCCCCACTCCTAATTGCCAGCCAGTACTTCCCAATAGGCCTAGGTCAGCTCGGCCCAGGGGCCAGGAGAGGAGGGGACTGGGAGTGGGGAGAGCCATGCCCCGGAGCTGAGGGGTCTTGGGTCAGGGCCTTAGAGAGGCGGCTGGGGGCAGTTGGAGGCTGGAGTCTGGGAAGGGGCAGGGACGGGGAGGTGGGTTACTCACTGTTGTTAGACTTGAGGTCCCGGTGGATGACAGGCACGAGAGCCTCACAGTGCAGGTAGTGCATCCCCCTGGCTATCTGCACCCCCCAGTTGACCAAGACGTGAGGGGGGACCCGGCGGCCCGCCAGTGCCCGGCTGAGGGGCCCTCCCGCGGCATACTCCATCACGAGGCACAGGTTGGGCTCCTCCAGGCAGACCGCCTTGAGCGCGATGATGTTGGGGTGCGCCAGCATGGCAAAGAGGCGAGCCTCTTGGCGGACGCTTTCGGCAGTCACGCTGATGTCCTCATCGGGGTCCTGGCGGGCGGCCTTGACGGCCACCAGCTCGCCCCGCCAGCTGCCCCGGTACACCTTCCCGAAGCCCCCCACTCCGATCACCTCCTCCAGGCGCAGCTCCTGGAAGCGGGCCACCTCGGGCTGCGGGGGGCTGCCCCGGGACACGTAGTTGGAGGGGAAGATGCCCACCTGGTCGCCTACCTTGCCTGCCCACCAGCCCTCGTCCCCGGAGATAGCTGCGTCCCGGGACAGCACCTCCACCCGGTCGCCCTTGCGTAGGGTCAGCTCGTCGTGGCCGCTGGCCTCGTAGTCAAACAGCGCGGTCCACACGGGGTTGCAGTAGGCGGTCTTGGGGGCGCCCTCGGCCCGCCCCCCTCCGTTCCAGGTGCCCAGGGGGCTCTTGAGGAGCAAGTTCTTCAGGGGCTCCATTCTGGGGGGGGCACTTTCATAGGCTCATCGGGCTAGAGCGGGCGCCTCATTATAACAGATGGGGAAACCGAGGCCCAGAGCGGCGAGCGGCGCGGTCCCGAGGCTCGGGCTCTCCGCCGCCCCCCCTCATCGCGGGGTTCGGGAGGCGGGCCGCCCCCGGGGGGCTCGGGCCAGCTCAGGGGCGGGGCGCCCGGCGGCCCCGGGGGCGCCGCCTCGGGACCATGGGTGGGGGGGTCTGAGACGGGACCCTGGTGCTCCCTGTGCTCCTCCTCCTCCTCCTCCTCCGCGCCCCTGCCGCGCTCCCTCCTTCCTCCCTCCCGAGGTCTCTTTGTACTTTGGCCCCGGGGCGGGAGGCGGCGGCGGCGGGGGAGGAGTTTCGCTTTTTTCCGCTCTTCTCCCTCCTGCAGGAAACAGCATCAGATGACGTTGGCCCCGCGGGACGGCCCCGGCCGGGGGACCCCGAGCCCCGCGCCCGCCCCCGGGAGCCCCGCGAGGGCGCCCCTGGCCTCGAGCCGCCCCGCCCGGGGGACCCAGGGGGAAAATGAGGCAGGGGAGGAGCGGGGGCGCACCCGCGCGCCAACGACGGCCGGGCCCGTGCAGGAGCCCCTCCGCGCCCCTGGCGCCGCTCTAGCCCTTTTACCGGGCTCCTGCGAGCTTTCGGAGAAGGGGCCGAGGCGACATGGGCCGCCGCCGCCTCTGCTCCGCGGAGGAGTGCCTGTCTCTTTAAGACAGTCGACGCCGTCTGCACTCTCCTATTTCTGCCTGCTCCAAGAACTTTCGGCCCAGACACTAGTCGGGTCTGGGCCGTGACCTAAAAACGGAGGCGACTCCGGCGGGCTCATTCCAGTGACGTCACCCACCCCTCCAGGCTATAAAATGGGGCGGGCTGTGGGGAGTACCGCCCTCCTACCCCTGCCCCGAGATCGTACGGGCGCTTCTTCCTGGGGGATATCCCATTGGCAAGGCTACATGTCGGTTTTTCCCTGTAACCCAATGGTCATCCGGCTCTTGTTTAAGCTCCGCCCCTCGGCTCCAGCGCGTCCTCCACCTCGGTCTTGCGCATGCGTTCCTGCAGTCCCACCGAGGTGCTGCTGCTTTCCTGATCCCCACCCCCAAGCCGTCTGAGCCCAGGTTTTCAGCATCTACGCATGCGCCGATTTCTCGGCTCTTGCCGCTGCGCATCTTTATAGTATCAGCGAACTAGATCAAGGAAAGATCTCGGAAGGCAACTGGTCTAGTTCTGACCCTCTTATTTGACATACAAATAAACTGAGGCCCAGAGTACTTTATCACAGCTAGCATTCATTACACAATTCATATTTCATTTAATCCTCATAGCCATTTTTTTATGCCTGGCGCTATGGTTATCCCCATTTTACAGATGAGGCCCACAAGACAAAGTGCTCATTTCTCGGCTGGGATTTGAACTCGGGTCTTCCGGACTCCGTTGACACATATCCTGTATGTACGCAGTCGTTCGCATATCGTTTCCCCCCCACCCCCGTTAGAATGTAAGCTCCTTGAGGGCAGGGTCCGTGTTTTTGCCTTTTTGTCCCCAGAGCTTAGTAGAGTGCCAGCCGCGTAGCATCTGCTTCTGCATCCTCCAGGTTGCGTGACAGGCCCCAGCTCCTCGGTTCGGGGCTTGGTCCCTACCCGACCGATCGCTTCTCCCCCGCCACTTATCGCCTCGGTCCCCACCGCGCAGGCGCGTTGGGTGCCTCGTCTCTCCCGGTCCCTCCGTATTCCTAGCCGGGATTGCTCCTCCCCCCAACCCCATCTGACCCCGCCCAGAGATCACGGCGCTTGGCACGGGCGCCGGCGCACTACCGTCCTCGGCACCTCGGCGCGTGCGCAGTCCTTCGTGGCCAGTTTTCCCTTTCCGGGTTCCCACCGCCCCCACCCCCGAGTCCGGCGGGCGCATGCGCTTCCGGCAGCTGGCTGCTCGCGGCTCCTGCTTCCGGCCTTCACCGCCCCCTCCCCACACCCCTCCCCCCTGCCGGGGCCGGCACCGGGAGCGGGAGCGTCGTCGGGGCGAGCGCGGAGGCCCGGGGCGCTCGAGCTGCGGCCGGCCCGGCGAGCGGCGGCGGGTCCTCCGGCGGGCGGGGCGGGGCCGCGAGGCAGGGGGGCGGGGGGGGCGCGCGGGCCCCGCATGCGGCGGGCGCGGCGGGGGGCGGGGGGGGCGGCGAGGGGCCGGGCGCGGGGCCGCCCATGAGGGCCCCGGGCCCGGGCCCGCGGACGGCGCCGCCCCCCCCGGGCGGCCATGGGCTCCCAGGTGCTGCAGATCCTGCGCCAGGGCGTGTGGGCCTCGCTCACGGGCGGTTGGTTCTTCGACCCGCACCAGAGCACCTTCTCCAACTGCTTCCACCTGTACACCTGGCTGCTGCTGCTGGCGCTGCCTTTCCTGCTGTACATGGTGAGCGCGGGGACACTGAGGCACGGGGGGGCGGGGCAGCGAGGCGGGACCGTCCTGCCGTGCACCTGCCTGTGCACCTGGGGGGAGGGGCTGCTGCTGCTGGCGCTGCCCTTCCTGCTCTGCATGGTGAGCCCGGGGAAACTAAGGCAGGAGGTGGCGATGGGACTGCCTGCTCCTACGGTGTGCACCTGCCTGTGCACCTGGGGGGAGGCACTGACTGCTCTCGGCCGTGTACCTGGGCCGTGGTGGGGCTGTTCTTCTTACTCTCCATAGGGCACGGGAGGAGACTGCAGCTTGGGGGAGTAGGGAGGGAAACCGAGGTGCTGGGGGGGTGGGACACTTAGGCACAGGGCATGGGGAGGGCAAACAGGCACGGAGGGAGGAGCGAGGTTTGGTAGCTCAGGCCAGGTTCAGAGCTGCCGGCCATCCCTTCCCCTCCCCCACAGGCGTGTTGGCTGCCTTAGCTTCTAGGAGGCTGCAGGATGGAGGCGCAGGGGAACGCCAGGCGGCCCCACTCAGCGCCCCTCCCTGCCCTCAGGTTCTGCCCCCCAGCATGCTGGTGGCAGCTGTGTACTGCCTGGTGGTGGCCGTCATCTTCACCACCATCAAGACGGTGAACTACCGGCTCCACGCCATGTTCGACCAGGGGGAGATTGTGGAGAAGAGGAACTCAACTCTGGGGGAGGCCGAGGAAGAGCTGGCCCCTGGGGACAGCGATGTGCCCAGGTAGGATGGCGGAGTGGGAGGGCAGGGCCCCCCACTGTGTGGGAAAGAGGCTGTAGGGCCGAAAGGGGAGAGTGGGACCAGCTTGCCATGGCAGGACCTGACCTACTCATCCCGAAACCCTTAGGGATCCTGGCGTGGAGATGACGGTGTTTCGGAAAGTGAGCTCCACGCCCCCCGTCCGCTGCAGCTCCCAGCATTCTATATTCGGTTTCAATCAGGTCACGGTGAGCTGGCCCTTTCCGTTCCTTGTTTCTTGATTGGGCAGCGTAGAACTCTGTCCCATGGGTTCCAGGGGCTCTGTCCCTCCCACAGTCCTCCTAGCTCTGGGGACTTCACCCATGTAGCCTGTGAATTGTTCCCTCGAGCTCACGGCTTTCTCCTTCATCAGGAGCTGATACCCCGGATAGAGGACTCTGGGCCTCTGAGAGGTGAGAGCTTGTGGCTTCTTCCGTGGCGGCTTGGAGACTCTTTTGGGGCAAGCACACAGGCCCGGTCCCAGGACCCCTGCCTTCTTGTGAATGTTTGGCAGGGTCAGAGCTGACTGGTGCATTCACATTGCAGACATCAAGGAGCTGGTTCGAGAACAAGGCAGCAACAATGTGATTGTGACTGCAGCCGACCGAGAGATGCTGAAGCTGAGCTCCCCAGAGAAGCTGTGTGAGTGGGCCTGGGAGGGCGGAAGATGGGTGGAGGTGGGGGGGGTGCCTGGGAGGGGCAATAGGGGGGCTGAGGAGGCAGGGGAGGCGGGCCTGGGCTTCACTCCACTAGCCCTTGAGTTCTTGTCCACCCCCTCCCAGACCGTGGGACAATTCTTCTTCCTCTGGTTGGTTTTCCTTCTAGTTGGAGATCTCCCCCAGACTCCCCCAGGGCCTCCTCTCCCAGAGCCTTCACTGCCCAGCACAGACTCCTCAGAGCATTCTCCCCTGGCTGGAAACAGGGGGACCCCGTGGAGTGGAGAAAGTGTGGCCGACACTCCCATGAGCCCCCTGCTCAAAGGGAGCCTCAGCCAGGAGTTAAGCAAAAGCTTCTTGAATCTGACTCTTCCCGACCGACCACTTGTGCGCACCAGCAGCCGCAAGGAGAGGCGTGGGGGGCCTGGTTATCAGCCCCTAGACCGCCAAGGGTCAGAGGACCCTGTGCCCCAGAAGGCTGGCTCCTCCGACTCCTGTTACAGCGGCACCGACAAGGAGACCCTGAGCAGCTTTAAGAGTGAGAAAACCAATTCCACACACCTGGACAGTCCTCCCGCGGGCCGTCCCCGGGATGGCAGTGACACAGATCCACCGTCAGAAGGCGACCTCCCCCCCTCCCCAGACGCTGGGGTCCCATCTGACGACACCATGCGCTCCTTTGACACGGTGATTGGAGCTGGGACTCCACCGGGGGGCCCTGAGCCCCTCCTGGTCGTCCGACCCAAGGACCTGGCCCTGCTCCGGCCGAGCAAACGCAGAACCCCGATCCGCCGGCATTCCCCCCCAAGCCGAGCCTCCCGACGCCCTTGCCCTGCCCCAGGCCGCCCCCTGCTGGAAGGGGGGGGCTTTTTTGAGGACGAGGACACGAGTGAGGGCAGTGAGCTCAGCCCTGCGTCCAGCCTTCGGTCACAGAGGCGCTTCAGCACTGACAGCTCATCCTCCACTTCCTGTTACTCCCCTGAGGGATCTGGAGGGGCTGGGGGTGGGCCCCGGAAGCGGCGGGCCCCCAGAGGGGCCGAAGAAGGGGCCGCGGTGCCCCCCAAGCGTCCCTATGGAGCTCAGCGGACCCCCAGCACCGCCAGTGCCAAGACACACGCCCGGGTGCTCAGCATGGATGGGGCTGGGGGCGACAGTCTCCGGGCCCCCCTGGCAGGCTCCAAAGCAGAGCTAGAGGCCCAGGCTGGGGGGGAGCCCGCGGTGGCCTTGGCCTCCCTGCCACCGTCGGACAGCTTTGCCCTCGGGAGCCGAAGGGGACCCACTGCCAACCAGCCAGGTTGGCGGGGGGAACTCCAGGAAGAAGGAGCAGTTGGGGGTGGTGAGTGAAGGCCATGCAGGATGGGGGTGGGGGTGAGATTTGAGGGTCGGCCGTGGTC